AATGATAATCTTTCCTGTTTCCTATAATCAGCTCATTGCTTTTCAGAGATCAGCAAGCATAGTCTCAGAGGCACATGAAGGCTGATAAATCTATTGCCATCAGTTGCTCAGTATCACAAAGATGATAAAGCATTGATGATCCTGTTCATTCTTCCCTCCTTCTCAACCTAAACTCATCAGAATCCTGGGATTGACAGTTTCTCATCTGAGCATTTATTTAATCTGAGCATACGTCACATCACTAGATCCAGCACCTGAAAATATAGAAATGAATTCAAAACGCACATTTTTATATGCAGTATTTAATTTCATTCTTCTCAATGATGCTTGTAGGTGAACGTCTCGGGTTACTTATGTAACCATGGTTCCCTGAGTAGGGAACGAGACACTGCGTCCTCTAGGGGTCGCTATGGGGAACGCCTCGTCGTGACTCGTATCTGAAGCATACATTGAAAAACCACCAACTCGTTGGCCGGCGACAGCCATGACGTCACTACCGGTGCGACTACAGTATAAATCGGTGCCGGGAGCTACACATCGTTCACTTCTTCGTCTGAAGCTTGCGTCCGCAGCATGGCAAGAAACCTAGAGGACGCAGTGTCTCGTTCCCTACTCAGGGAACCATGGTTACATAAGTAACCCGAGACGTTCCCTTTCATGGGAACTTCGAACTGCGTCCTCTAGGGGTCGCTATGGGGAACGCCTCGTCGTGACTCGTATCTGAAGCATACATTGAAAAACCACCAACTCGTTGGCCGGCGACAGCCATGACGTCACTACCGGTGCGACTACAGTATAAATCGGTGCCGGGAGCTACACATCGTTCACTTCTTCGTCTGAAGCTTGCGTCCGCAGCATGGCAAGAAACCTAGAGGACGCAGTGTCTCGTTCCCTACTCAGGGAACCATGGTTACATAAGTAACCCGAGACGTTCCCTTTCATGGGAACTTCGAACTGCGTCCTCTAGGGGTCGCTATGGGGAACGCCTCGTCGTGACTCGTATCTGAAGCATACATTGAAAAACCACCAACTCGTTGGCCGGCGACAGCCATGACGTCACTACCGGTGCGACTACAGTATAAATCGGTGCCGGGAGCTACACATCGTTCACTTCTTCGTCTGAAGCTTGCGTCCGCAGCATGGCAAGAAACCTAGAGGACGCAGTGTCTCGTTCCCTACTCAGGGAACCATGGTTACATAAGTAACCCGAGACGTTCCCTTTCATGGGAACTTCGAACTGCGTCCTCTAGGGGTCGCTATGGGGAACGCCTCGTCGTGACTCGTATCTGAAGCATACATTGAAAAACCACCAACTCGTTGGCCGGCGACAGCCATGACGTCACTACCGGTGCGACTACAGTATAAATCGGTGCCGGGAGCTACACATCGTTCACTTCTTCGTCTGAAGCTTGCGTCCGCAGCATGGCAAGAAACCTAGAGGACGCAGTGTCTCGTTCCCTACTCAGGGAACCATGGTTACATAAGTAACCCGAGACGTTCCCTTTCATGGGAACTTCGAACTGCGTCCTCTAGGGGTCGCTATGGGGAACGCCTCGTCGTGACTCGTATCTGAAGCATACATTGAAAAACCACCAACTCGTTGGCCGGCGACAGCCATGACGTCACTACCGGTGCGACTACAGTATAAATCGGTGCCGGGAGCTACACATCGTTCACTTCTTCGTCTGAAGCTTGCGTCCGCAGCATGGCAAGAAACCTAGAGGACGCAGTGTCTCGTTCCCTACTCAGGGAACCATGGTTACATAAGTAACCCGAGACGTTCCCTTTCATGGGAACTTCGAACTGCGTCCTCTAGGGGTCGCTATGGGGAACGCCTCGTCGTGACTCGTATCTGAAGCATACATTGAAAAACCACCAACTCGTTGGCCGGCGACAGCCATGACGTCACTACCGGTGCGACTACAGTATAAATCGGTGCCGGGAGCTACACATCGTTCACTTCTTCGTCTGAAGCTTGCGTCCGCAGCATGGCAAGAAACCTAGAGGACGCAGTGTCTCGTTCCCTACTCAGGGAACCATGGTTACATAAGTAACCCGAGACGTTCCCTTTCATGGGAACTTCGAACTGCGTCCTCTAGGGGTCGCTATGGGGAACGCCTCGTCGTGACTCGTATCTGAAGCATACATTGAAAAACCACCAACTCGTTGGCCGGCGACAGCCATGACGTCACTACCGGTGCGACTACAGTATAAATCGGTGCCGGGAGCTACACATCGTTCACTTCTTCGTCTGAAGCTTGCGTCCGCAGCATGGCAAGAAACCTAGAGGACGCAGTGTCTCGTTCCCTACTCAGGGAACCATGGTTACATAAGTAACCCGAGACGTTCCCTTTCATGGGAACTTCGAACTGCGTCCTCTAGGGGTCGCTATGGGGAACGCCTCGTCGTGACTCGTATCTGAAGCATACATTGAAAAACCACCAACTCGTTGGCCGGCGACAGCCATGACGTCACTACCGGTGCGACTACAGTATAAATCGGTGCCGGGAGCTACACATCGTTCACTTCTTCGTCTGAAGCTTGCGTCCGCAGCATGGCAAGAAACCTAGAGGACGCAGTGTCTCGTTCCCTACTCAGGGAACCATGGTTACATAAGTAACCCGAGACGTTCCCTTTCATGGGAACTTCGAACTGCGTCCTCTAGGGGTCGCTATGGGGAACGCCTCGTCGTGACTCGTATCTGAAGCATACATTGAAAAACCACCAACTCGTTGGCCGGCGACAGCCATGACGTCACTACCGGTGCGACTACAGTATAAATCGGTGCCGGGAGCTACACATCGTTCACTTCTTCGTCTGAAGCTTGCGTCCGCAGCATGGCAAGAAACCTAGAGGACGCAGTGTCTCGTTCCCTACTCAGGGAACCATGGTTACATAAGTAACCCGAGACGTTCCCTTTCATGGGAACTTCGAACTGCGTCCTCTAGGGGTCGCTATGGGGAACGCCTCGTCGTGACTCGTATCTGAAGCATACATTGAAAAACCACCAACTCGTTGGCCGGCGACAGCCATGACGTCACTACCGGTGCGACTACAGTATAAATCGGTGCCGGGAGCTACACATCGTTCACTTCTTCGTCTGAAGCTTGCGTCCGCAGCATGGCAAGAAACCTAGAGGACGCAGTGTCTCGTTCCCTACTCAGGGAACCATGGTTACATAAGTAACCCGAGACGTTCCCTTTCATGGGAACTTCGAACTGCGTCCTCTAGGGGTCGCTATGGGGAACGCCTCGTCGTGACTCGTATCTGAAGCATACATTGAAAAACCACCAACTCGTTGGCCGGCGACAGCCATGACGTCACTACCGGTGCGACTACAGTATAAATCGGTGCCGGGAGCTACACATCGTTCACTTCTTCGTCTGAAGCTTGCGTCCGCAGCATGGCAAGAAACCTAGAGGACGCAGTGTCTCGTTCCCTACTCAGGGAACCATGGTTACATAAGTAACCCGAGACGTTCCCTTTCATGGGAACTTCGAACTGCGTCCTCTAGGGGTCGCTATGGGGAACGCCTCGTCGTGACTCGTATCTGAAGCATACATTGAAAAACCACCAACTCGTTGGCCGGCGACAGCCATGACGTCACTACCGGTGCGACTACAGTATAAATCGGTGCCGGGAGCTACACATCGTTCACTTCTTCGTCTGAAGCTTGCGTCCGCAGCATGGCAAGAAACCTAGAGGACGCAGTGTCTCGTTCCCTACTCAGGGAACCATGGTTACATAAGTAACCCGAGACGTTCCCTTTCATGGGAACTTCGAACTGCGTCCTCTAGGTTTCTTGCCATGCTGCGGACGCAAGCTTCAGACGAAGAAGTGAACGATGTGTAGCTCCCGGCACCGATTTATACTGTAGTCGCACCGGTAGTGACGTCATGGCTGTCGCCGGCCAACGAGTTGGTGGTTTTTCAATGTATGCTTCAGATACGAGTCACGACGAGGCGTTCCCCATAGCGACCCCTAGAGGACGCAGTTCGAAGTTCCCATGAAAGGGAACTATGACTGAATTTATTTAGTTTGACACTCACCTTGATCTGTTTCTAACTTCTGTTTAGAGTAAACGTTGTCATAACGCTCAATGCTGTTCCCTAGAAGATGCCAAAATATAATATGTATAATTCTTTTATTTTAAAATGATTACATGTTAAACCAAATTAACTCAAAATGAACTTATGGATCATGTGAGATTCACAATGCACAACTATACACAGGTGTTTAGGAAAATACTGCCATGTTTTTTGTAACTTTTTAGAGTTATTTAAGAAATAAATCAAAATCAAAGCATTATGAATACAATTGTAAAATCATAAGAACAGAGCTTTTTGTTTCTGTTTACCTTTGTTGTCTTTCTTTTTCTTCAGTTTCTTTGTAGATTTGAGTTCAATCTCAACATAGGTGAGTTCAGGTCCACTTACGCTGTCTTAAAATGAAAAATAAAGAAAGTAATAAGACACTGTATTCCTCTGTAAATATACAGTGATTAAAAACATTGATTCAGTTTATAATATCTTTAGAAAATAACTACTATTTCAGTTTAAAAACACTTTAAATGACATCATTAGTTACCTGTGCTTGTGTCTTTTTTCTTAATCGTTGCATCAATACAGTCATAAATATGAGCAGATCCTGTAATACATTAAATAATTTTCCATAATATATATATAATTTTTGCCATTCATCTTATGAGTTAACACTACATAAATAAAATAAAGCATTAGACAAAATATTTCATTTAAACTTTTTAAAATGACTGAAAACAAAATATATTTTGTAGTTAAATTTTTGATAACAAAATAAACCCAAATGACATCTAACTGAAACATATATGTCAGGCACACAAATATCATGTTAAACTTTAGAGAAGTGAAATAGTATTTAGTTGTGACATCAGTCCTGTTAAAAGTTATTCTTAAGTGTCTTTCATCTCAGCTTGTAAAGATTTAAATGTATGTATTTATGGTTAACAGGTAAAGACTGACCAGACAGCAGTGTGTTGTTTCCCGCGTCACTCTGGTTCTGCTCTGATGTCTGACTGCTGTTCTGCTGTTGACTGACACTAGAGCGAGACTGAGATCTTACACCTAAGATAACATAAAATGATTATGTATGTGTTTTGAGGAAAACCTCCTTTTAATCCTGTTCATGCATACATGTTTGAGAATGAAAGTGCTTTAGTGACATGTTTTTTATTTATTTATTTATTTATTTATAACATTATGGTTCTGTTCTAAAACATAGTAAGCTGCCTTGCTGCCTTGCTGCCTTGCTGCCTGCTCTCCTCATAGGCTGCAATCAAGACAGAAATCCTAACAGAAATGGAAATTGATAAATAACTAATTTGGAGTGCTTTACATGTGCATCAGTGGACAAAATGGACTCGACACAGTTCATTTCAATACATAAGTTCTCAGCCTAACCAGATGAAAATACCTGGAAATCTACTGAAACTAGCCAACACACCAGCTTTACTAGGTTGGAAGACCAGCTGAGACCAGATAACCAGCTTAGACTGAAGTAGGACGGCAGCTCACAAGGTTTAGGATCAGAGTTAGTGTAAGCAAATGTATCATTGAATTTTAATATGGCAAATGATGAACCTTTGTTGTTTCTGTAGTGCCACAGCAGGACCAAGACGACAATGATCAAAAACGTTACGATCAGTCCTGCAGTCACTCCAATTATCACAGGATTGAGACCATCAGACCTTGAGGCTGAGGAAGCTGAGATACATATATTTTACATTCAGATTAGTGCTGTAAATGATACAGGCACATTTCAATAGTTTTTATATTTCTAATTCTCACCTCTGACTGAGATCCAGCTCTTGGGTGACTCTCCTCTCTCTGGGTGTTTGCAGTAGTAGAAACCCTCATGTGACTTTGAGACAGTAGAGATGATCATCTCTGTAGTTTGATTCTGGATGAGTGATCCATCTTTATAGAAATCAGCTCTGAGGTTTAGTGGGGTTGAATGTTGATATAAACAGCGTAGAGTCAGAGTATCTCCTTCTGTCACAGGATGAACAGGACTCTCCAGAATCACACCAACTACAGAACAGAGAAAACATGAGCCGATTGTAAAGAGTTAGATTATATGAACATTATAACTTTTTGTTATATTTGTTTTATGATTTTTATATTTGATGACAAAACTAGATTTTTTTGTACTGCCTGCCCAGTGAGTGTTTTTTTTTTTTTTACCACTTAAGCTTTCTGTTCTTGTTTAATTAACCTGCTTTATGCATTGATGTGTAAACTGCCAGTGAAATAAATACAGAAGCACAGACTCACAGTGTACAGTGATATTAATAGGATGATAGTTCTCTCCAGATTCAGACTGACACCAGTACACTCCTGTGTCTGATGTGATGGTGGAGTTGATTGTACATGTAGATCCTGTTTGTGATGCCCGGCGTAATGATGAACAATCTTGCAGCCGCCAACTCCCTGTGTATCTTCTCACTCTCCATCTATCAGAGTTACTCTGGCCTTTACAGCTCAGAGAGAGAGAGACAGATGGGAAGTGTTGAGTTCTGCTGGGACTGATGATCAGAGAGACTGGAGGAGAAACACCTGATGAATGTTTTTAAATAAATGATAATAAAATAATTATCAAATAATAAAAAGCATAAAAAGAGGTTTAAATAGGTTGAACATTTTAATTAGGCTTATTTCATTGTTTTCCTTCAGGTTAACTTATAATATTAATAACATTTGTGTTCCATAAACAGTGATGCTTCAGTTTTCAATGACCATCTTTCAAAGAATTTTTGTGAAGAAAGATATTGTGAAATACAGAGGAATTTTGAAACTTACATTGTATTTTCATAGTACATCAAGTTCTCAAAACACCAAGGGAAATTTTGATTCCTTATGTGACACCAGATGCATCAATCATTGTCTCATGCACACTGATTCTGTGAACTCACCAGTGACCCATACTGGCTGTGTTTTGCTGTAGGTTGTTTTATAGACTGGTTTTCCTCTCTCTGCTCTGCACACATAAACTCCTGTGTGATTTAGAGCAACAGAACTGACAGTGTAGTTTCCTCCAGCTCCTCTGCTGCTGTCTGAGAGCAGCTTATAACGACTGCTTATGTCTGTAAAACAAGAGCATCTGATTTGACCCTTATCAATTTCTTTTGTTGGTGTAACCCAATGCATTCAGGATTTTTATACCTGGACTAAGTCATGTACCACTGAGACCTACATTACCTATCTGTCTCCAGTACATGCAGATACATGAACCAAACAATGACACCTTATGATTTTGCAGAAGAGTGAGTGATGATGCACGACTGAGCATCTATGGTGGGTCTCACTGCTCGAAACCCGTGGGAGTTTAGGGAATTTAGGCATACAGTATGCCCCACATACCTGGTCTGTAATGCTTGGATTCAGACATATTAAACAGTATATCTGACTTTCATAAAACCAGTTAATTCAGATGTTAAGCCATGAAGCACATTATATCTTACCTGATGAAGCATTTACAGAGAACCAGCTGAATGTCCAGCCTGTAGAGGAGCCGTAAACCTCACAGATCAGAGTCACTGGATCTCCTTCAGTCAACCACTTCTGTGGAGAAACACTTAAAACTGCCTGGGCTCTATCTGAAATAGAGAAATCACTCATTAATAACCTCTTAAGACCCGAGAAAAAAGTTAGTTTTTTCCATGTCTTTACATTGTTTAGAGCAGTGTTTCCTACCCTTTTTTTAGTCGCGGCACCATTTGGAAATTTTAACAAACTTGTAGCACCCTACAAAATAAATTTTGTCACAATATTTGAATTTCTAACTTCGATATGATAATTTGAAAAGTACAGATATTCGGTACAACATGGAAGAACTGCAGAATATAATGTCATACGGATATTTTTTTATATTATTAAAACATTTTGTCCATCAATGGTGGCAATCAGTAGGCTAATTTCTAATGAAGAGACCAATTTATATGACAGATTTTAATGTAGGCTTTTATACATACGTAAACATTATTTAATTACCATTATATCTAGCTATCTCACATATTTTTGCTCACTCAGTGTTTTTTTTTATTTTACAGTAGGGTAATTTTGGTGCAGTAGCACGAGATAGCTTGATTTCAAACTTTGAATTGAATAAAAAATGACAAGTATGCAGTCAGTAATAAAATAAGAACAAATAAAGAAATTAATAATGATAGCACAAATAAAAAATAACAACAGGCCTTCGAATTAAATAAATTGCTTTTTAGTTTTTCCAGGTAGGTCTAATAGTAGGGTTAAGATATTTAACTTTTTTTTTTATCCAAAATATTATCCAAATAATGTTTAGTCCTAGAAAGCTATTATTATCAGAACACGTGAGCATAACATAGCGGTTAGCAGATCAATGAATGA